CCGCTCTCTCACTGCCTTAGGACGTTGTAGACCTTTCCTGTGCCAGCCTACGAGCCATGCCTTTCCCTCGCTGCAGAGTCCCAGCTTACTCGGATGGTCCTTTGTGGAAGCCATTCGACCTCTGACCTTCCTTGCAGAATTCCTCTGAACCTCTTTCAGTCCAGCTTTGTCTGGAGGTACCAGACTGCACCCAGGATTAAGGTCCAGGCTAAGCATGATGTAGGCTGCGGCATAATGATTTTCTTCCTTTTGTTCTCTCTTGCTTTCCCAGTTATTTGTAACACGTGATTTCCCTTTTTCCCCGTTTTCCTGGGCAATGTTTTCATGGCACCAACCAACGTCCAAGGAGTGTTTCCTGATCCCTGAGGGAAATGGACAGCTCAGAGGCTGGTCTTGTATATGAAGCTGAGACTGTTTTCTACCTCAGTACAACCTTTCTTCATAATCTTTTTTTTATTTTTTTTTTTAAAGTTTACAGAAAGAAGGTTTTTTTCCCCCTTAATTGCAGATAAAGAACTTGACTAGTATTAGTCAGAGGACAGAGCTTTGTGAGATATTTCCAGAGCTCCCCTGGAAATATCTCATTTGGATCATAATTCCACACAAGAACTTATAAGCATGTGATTTTTGGTCCATTTAAGAAGGTCTGCATTAATGCTCAGTCCTATTAATACACTTAACAGAATGGCACACGATAAAGTTGAATATTAAAGAGAAGTCTGAATATTGCAAACTGTTATAGTCAAAAACCACATTAACAATCCAATCAAAATAATAATAGTGCTAGACCTATTTGACACAAAAAACTGTGATGACTGACAGTATTTTTGCTACTGCCTTCTATTCCCTACCAGTCTGAATCAGTAGAGAATAAGGGGGTGAAAAAGAATGTCAGTACTATGGAAAGATCATTCTATTGCACCACTCTCTTTGCCTCACATTGGAGTAGCTACACCACGTTTGTACAGCTGATGGTTAGACCTGAGTCCATACTTTTATTTTTTTGGTGCTATTCAAATACTGAAGCTAGCACACCAGCTTTTGTTTCTTGCACTATTACTCTCTCCTTCTCCTGAGGGTTATTGTTGTTTAATAGATCTTCAGCTAGGGAATCTGCACAGGAGTCTTCGTGACAGTGTGAAGGATCCTATTCAGAAGCATTTCGTAAATTTGACCGTAAATGTAATTCTGATCTGAGCTTCTGAACTTTTGTCATGTGTTTCATGTTAACATCTTCAAAATTGTAGCTTCTCTTCTGGGTAGAAGCAAGTTGAAATTGCTTTTTTCAGAAAGTAGAATAGGAAGTAAGAGGAGACACGGGGCTCACACACATGCAAACCAGAACCAGCACTGAATAAGGTGTAATTTTATTTCTGTTCAGTTATGTTAGCTTTAATTGTGCATAGCTCAATCTTTGTCCTTTTATTTTGTTTGAGTAGCTGCCTTAGGATAGATGTGACCCATAAGAAGTCTTATTTTTCAGGGATTATTCATTTCTTGTTTGGGCTTCCTTTCCATACACAGTTCTCTCTCCTTCCCTGTGTTTTTGTTCTCGCATACTGATATTTTGTCCCCAGAAATCGTTTGCCTGAAAAAACACTTTATAGATTCTAAAACTCAGCATAAGGTGAGGTTTGACAGCACCAGCTGAATGTGAGAGGAATATAGGTAAAAGGCAGGGAGCGGACTTGGCCAGAGGAGTTCATCCCATTTCTCACATCCATGAACCTTGATTCTTTGTCTTTGACTTGGCAGAAGTCCTTCCATTAAGACAGAGAAGATCAGAGGTCCTTGTTTAGACTAGGAAAAACAATTGAAATTACATTCAAGTTTGCTAACATTAGCTAAACACGGCAGCCTAAATTCAGTTACTTTCCTAATCAGGAGAATGCTAATGAGTAGCCACCAAAATCAAATTATTAGCAATTGCTCCCCAACTTTTTTCATTTTTAAATACTGTATAAGTGGGTAAGCCTCATGAAAGATGCCCTTCTTGAGTTTACTGAATGTCAGGTTTTATTAGTTACAATCACATTTGGCGATTCTGAGTTATTTCTTGACAATATGGTATGTATGTGTCTTTTAATGCAGACATGTATATTGACTAACAGGAATCAAAGTTTTGAAGTAGGTACCCTGTAAATCTCATGCTCTTAAGAGATGCAAGTGCGTTATCTTGTCATAGGGTAACATCTGCTGAAATAGATTCAAACCATATTTCACTTATGGTTGGCATGCTAAATGTCCTGAGGGTTTTTCATAAAAAAATCAAGCTCCTAACATCTGAAGCTTTCTCAGCAAAATGCATTACCCAAATCTTATGTGACCCCAGACTTATTTCTTGAATATCCTTATACCGTGCTAATCTTTATGCCCCAAGGACCTCCGATGGTCTCCCGATAACAATTTTTTTTTTTTGCAAAGTAAGTGTTTGACATTTCACTTGTTTTGACACAAGTTCTCCTTCCTGTCTTTCTGCAATATTCATATGTCTGACGGAACCAGAAACACTGGAAATGCTGAAAAACCAAAACTATGTAATAAAAAAGTTTGTCAACTTGCAAGAAAAAAGTTATTTTGTCCTTTTTATTTTCTTTTGTTTCTGCCTGCATGAATGTTAAATCCATGTGAGATGATTTCACTTCCTTTATTGTTGTTTGTGTGGATGTTTTTCTGTGCTTGATGTAACTTGTTCTCATGTTCTTTTGATATTGGCTCCATATTTATACATTGTTCTGCACAGTCATTAAATACGTCTTTTGCATTCCTTTTGGTTTCTCCTAATCCCCAGGCCCTGAAGGAAATGTAATTTGGCAACTGAGGGAGGGTGTTTTTCTGTCTTTAGATAACTGAAGAGAAAGGTCTGGCTCTGCTGGGTTAATGCAATTTTTATGCATCCATATTCACATTTTCAGGATACCTAACTGGAAGACTCAAGAATTGATAAAGTTTGACCCCTATTGTATCTATAAAAGACAGACTTCTACTGTGCTTTCCGTCTTGGCAAGTTCATGAGTAAGGAGATGCTACATTATTCTCAGCTGACCATTGGAGGCTGGGTGCTTTATTACTAGAGGTACTTTCGCAGCATAGACTTTGTTCATATTTTATCTTAGTTTTCATCATTACTAGATGTTTTAGTGTGTGTTGCTATTCATTCCTCATCTCAGGTTGTCGAAACTGTTCTCTCTAGGAGAATTCACATGGCTGATCTTATGCCTTTGTGCCATCTATTAATTACCTTTAGTGTGTAAATATACTGCTTGTACTTCTTGGACAGATGCCTTGTTTGTCTTCGTATGCTGTGTTCTTGGAGAATCTGAGCTGAAACTTTGGGAATTTGCTTTTGAAGCAAGCAGCGACGCTGATTTTCATCTCAAGCTATTGGAAGCATTGAAAACTGGTCACTTTAAGCCTGTGCTGTGATGCTCCATCTTCAGTGTCAGAGAAGACCCCGACTCCTGAATGTCATACTGGCTGCAAATGGTCTTGTCTTGTTCCTCAGCTCATCTACGGTCCAGTTGCACTGAGAAATCCCAGGTTGTTAGCAGGAGGACTGAAGCACTTCCAAGCAGACTTTTTAACACTAAAACTAGTAGTCCTGGCTCTCCTGCGTCAAGGGAAAACCAGAGTCAACCATTATTGATGTTTATAGTCTTCTGCTCCAAGCAGCACAGCCTCAAGCACTGCTTATTCATTTGGTACTAGCTGAGATTGGGCTTGCTTCACTGTTGTCTGCTCCACAGGCTTTGAATCCTAAACTGAGATTTTATGTTCAGTTTATGCAGGGTGCTGCAGGTTTTGGTGAAGTTATCTCTTTCACTTGTGCCTCTGTAAGGACAGCCTCCAGCACCAGCTGTGCCTGTTTGTGATTCTGGATATCATAGCTGTTTTCTCTGCAGCAGTTCACACCTTCTCTCTTTCCTTCCTGTCTCAGAGAAAAGAGGAATGATTGAATGATCTGGCTTTTTAACCTCCTGAGGTTTGTGGTTCAGGCACTGCTGCCGTTTCTGTCCATACCTGTACGGTAGCAGCCATCTCCTGCTTCAGCTGTGGTGGTTGGCAGTGAGTTTCCAGCATACGGGAGAATCCTTAGTGATAGCTTCCTCAGGAGGGAAGATGATCGTCATATCGCTTCCTTCTTCCTTGCCATATTTCTTCTAGTCAAGGGGAAGCTGAGGCTTCTCATTCATCCTTTAGACTGTCTTTGGACCATTCTGTTGCTGAGGTGCCATCATCACTATTTTTTAGGGAAGACATTGCCCATCATGCTTTATTGACAGCCAGAGAGCTTTTCAGGATTCCTTTCTGTACTAGAGATTTGTTTGACAGCCAGAACCTATTTGAAGGCATCCTTGGACACGATGGATGACCCCTAATAGCCGCTCTTATTTTACATACATCTTAATGTTTTGAATGCTGAATTGCAAAAGGACATACAGTCTTTGACTGAAGACTGGTTGTCATTTTTTAGGTCCCTTGTCATCTTCTCATTGGTGGCTAAGAGCAAGTGATGCTAGTACTTTTTTCCTGTAGAGACTGCAGCCTCTTTCTCTGTTCCTTTCCTGGAGCCCTACTAGTTGTGGGGCTGATACTATTGCACAGGCCTTCTACAGGTACCAGTTCCTCATCGGAGCTCTTCTGCCCATCAACATTCTTGAAAAAAACTAATGTGGGACTCAATCTCCATCAGTCGAGGACACTGTTTCAGTGTGGAGGCGATCTGAATTCTCTGGTGGATCACCTGTACAGTATTCCTTCCATAGAGGGCATTTGTGTGAGCTCATTCTAACTTTTGTCCCTAAGTAGGGACAGATGCCAGGGAATTAACTGTTTTCATCCGTAAACTGAGTACTGGAGGCTGAGATTCTTATTTCATCTTCAGCATTGCTAAGGACTTTTCTTTTTATGTTGCTAAACTCCTTTTAAGAAGGCCAACAGCATCCTGGCCTGTATCAGGAATAGTGTGGCCAGCAGGAGCAGGGAGGTGATTGTCCCCCTGTACTCGGCACTGGTGAGGCCGCACCTGGAATGCTGTGTCCAGTTTTGGGCCCCTCACTACAAGAAAGACATTGAGATGCTGGAGCGTGTTCAGAGAAGGGCAACAAGGCTGGTGAAGGGTCTGGAGCACAGGGCTGATGGGGAGCGGCTGAGGGAGCTGGGGGTGTTCAGCCTGGAGAAGAGGAGGCTGAGGGGAGACCTGATCGCTCTCTACAACTCCCTGAAAGGAGGGGGCAGGGAGGGGGTGTTGGTCTCTTCTCCCAAGTAGTTAGGGATAGGACGAGAGGAAATGGGCTTAAGCTGCGCCAGGGGAGGTTTAGGTTGGAAATTAGGAAAAATTTCTTTACGGAAAAGGTAGTCAAGCATTGGAACAGGCTGCCCAGAGAGGTGGTGGACTCACCATCCCTGGAGGTGTTCAAAAAACGGGCAGAGGTGGCACTTGGGGACATGGTTTAGTCTAGTCTACCCTTGATTGGTTTAGAGTGGACTTGGCAGTGTAGGTTAATGGTTGGACTGGATGATCTTAAAGGGCTTTTCCAACCTAAACCATTCTATGATTCTGTGATTCTATGATTCTTTCAGAGTTTCGTTGTCTTGGTGCTGAAAGATGCAAGGTCTCACCCATTTCTGTGCAGATGGACAAACTGTTTTCAAGTTATATCAAATCTGTTTTGGAGACCACAAGCGTGACATTTCTATTTGTCACTGGGCTATATGTAATCCATCAGAGCGCAAGTCATACCAGTTGTTGGGAATGCCTAACATTTGTCAGGCAGCCACCTGGAGGCTCTCCATACCTTCCATACCTTCTCCACACCAAAAAACATGCTGTTGTAGAAGCACCACCAGGGAGGTAGCATTTGGCAAAGTGGATCGAAATTGCTGTGTGAAGGATTCAGAGGCCCATCTCTGACGAGGTGTAAGGCTATGACAGTCATTGGTTAGTCATGCGCAGTGTTCAATATATGTGAACGGTCTTTCCAAACAAACAAAAAGGGAGGTTACTTAACCTCCTTTGAGACAGGCTGTCCAAACATACATTTCCCCTGACCCCCCCCATCCTTCCAGCTATTCACCTTTGTTGGGATCTTGCAACAGAATGAACAAAAACAGCCTTGTGGTTTGCTGTCTTCTTTGTGCATCAGGCATGATGAAAGCAGCACAGGACTGATTAAGAACAAAAACTTGTTACCCAGCTTTGAATGTTAGTATGTTGTGAATGTAAACCTTGAGTGCACTTCTGGATAGCTTTGGTTGCTCCCAAAATGATCTTTCTGTTACCTTAAGACTGAAAAAGAATCTAAATAGAACCGGCATTGTTTTCTGGCATGCTGCTTTAGAGCTCACTTAACATATGGACATCCCACTGTATTTTTTCCTTTTAGTGATTAATTCCTGCATTTTTGTTTCTCTGTTACTCTTTAAATGATTGCTTGTCCATATATCAGTCCTTTGGCTAGCTAGGGAGTCATTTTATATGGTCTAGGAAGCACACTGGCAAAGCTGTTACTCTTCCCGTTTTTGGTATGACTTTTAAATGCTGCTCTATCTGAATCTCTGTATCTTTTCATTGTAAGGATCTGAATATTTCTCTTTACTCTCCTACTCTGCTCGTTTTTGCAGTGCACACTGTTGAGAGTAAGTGTTGCTGTATCCTTCCTTGCCCCGCCCCCCCCCCCCCCCCCCCCTCCCACACCACCTACAAATA